TCAGCGCCCGATCAAGGCGTCGCATGTCGAAAGTATAGCAATTATGGTCCTCGTTGGCAACGGTGAAATTGAACGCCTCCATGGGATTCCAGGCAATGGCGTTGCTGCGCATGCCCAGGATGACCTTGCGCATGGGAGTGTTGCCGCGAATGTCGTACAAGGCAATGTTGCGGTCGCTGCCGCATGTGGCCAGAATGTTGGTTTCCACAGGGTTGAAGCGGACCGTCGTCACCGTGTCTGCGCCCCACGAGTAGGTGGAGATGGGGTCGGAGCGGTGGACGTCCCAGAGCTCGACCACCGAGCCCGACGTGGCAAACTGTGAGTCTTTGCGGTGGTGGTCGCACCCCGTCAGCGAGTTCTTGGTAATGATGGCGTTGATTGGCAAGTCTGCGTCCACCTCGCCAGCGTCGAGCACGTCCATGGCGGTGGCCGAGCTTGTGCTGGCGCGTTTGCTGCGAGCGCGATCCTCCTCCTCGTCGCCGTACTTGCGCGAGAGTGCCTGCGCCGCCACCGCGTCATAGTCCAATCGCCACTGCTTGATGTGCTTGTCGTCTCCCACCGAGATGAAATAGTCGCCCAACGGCGAAATGCAAACGCCACGCACAAAGCCCTGGTGCGCATTGTACGTGCGGATTGTCTCTTCGCTCACGAGGTTCCACAAGCGGATTTCGCCATCGCACGAGCCAGACAGCAGTGAGCTAATACGCAGCGGGTGCTGTGTTCACAACCGAGAGAGTCAGGGAGAGAGCAAGGTGAGCGACACACATGTGTACAAGGTGCATTGCAGAGTTCGTTGGCTTGTTCTCATGTCCTCTCGGCTCTCTGTCGCCCTCAAAGGGTTTTTGTGTTCTTGCTGCTAATCCAAGCACCGTCTGTTTAGGACTATGAGCAAAATGTCTGGGTGACTGTACCTTGGCCATGCAAAAGACGCCATCAGTGTGCCCAGAGAGCGCTCCGACGAACGGCTTTGCAAACACGCGCTCGAGCTTGGTTGCATTGAGTGCTGCACGCAAGAGTGATTTTACAAGTTAGCATTAGGACGGTGAGTGGCGCGGGGTGGTGGGGTGAGTGAGCTGGACCAGTTCAGTTCAGTGCTCCACATGTTACGCGGCAGCGCATCTGGCAATAAGCTCAGACGCACCTCGCGTGTACTCGCGCGCTTGCTCGAACGGATGCAGCTTGGGATCAATGTTGCGCTGGAGCTTGGGCAGGTCCGACAGGGTCTCGCGCAAGTGCTCTGCGCCACGCTGCATTGCCTTGACGCGCATTTTGTATTGAATTGTATTGAAGAAAGAAAGAAAAAAAGAAAAAAACTGAATCTGAGAAACCAATAAAGAACTGCACATAAAGGACTTTTGTGAAAATAGACAAAACAAAAGCAGACATATGAGTGCAGCAGATGGTACGATTGCAGCTTTTTTTGGGCTGGGAGTTCAGTGCAAGGGTGGATTTGGCTCGGTCCAATTTTCGACGTTTCAGAACAGCTCCGCGTTCTAACGGTGGAAATTCAACACCAAGACAATCCAGACATAGACACACATTTTCGGTTGAATCCTTTGATAACGGCGGGGAAACGGACAACGGCTGCTTATGTGCGCTTCAAGAAATGCAGTCTTTTTTTTATTGTGTTTCAAAAAGAACAAAAGAACTCATCAAAAAAGATGCCAGTGTTGGAAGGAGCAACGTCGACGGAAGCCGTGCGCCACGGCGACGTTTCGGCGGGCGGCTCAATGAAGCAGCAGCAGCATCAGCAGCAACATGAACGGCAAGCTCCCAAAAACAAGAACGCTGCTGCTTCTTCTTCTTCTTCTTCTTCCTCCCCGTCTTCCTCCTCGACCACGACCTCGTCCTCGTCCTCGTCGAGCTCTGCTTCTGCGCAGAAGGACACGCACCAGACCACGGCGCTGCAGCGTCATTGCGAGTTTTTCGACCGCGACGGGGACGGAATGATTTCCATGCGCGATACCTTCACTGGATGTATGTCGATCGGCCTTGGAATTTTGGTTTCCGCGGTCTCCGTGCTCGTCATCAATGGCCTTGGCGCGTGGTTTACGTCAGATTCGTGGTGGCCGACGACCACGGTGCACCTCAAGAACATCCATCGCATGATGCACGGGAGCGACTCTGGCGTGTACGAACGCAACTCTGGCAGGCTCAACCACCAACGCCTGGACAAGCTATTCCAGGGCAACGATGCTCCGGACGCAGCTTTCACGCTCCGTAGCTTTGCGCGCCACTTGGTGCGCGACCGTCTCATGCTCGACATTGTCGGCTTGATTGCTTCGTGCATGGAATGGCTGCCGCTCTTCTTCCTGAACTGGCGCCACTACGGCACTCTGTCCATCTCCCGCAAAACAATTGAGCAAATGTTTGATGGTTCCCTGTTTCCCGAGCTCGAGAAGCATTGGGCGTCCAAGAAGCAGCAGCAGCAGCAGCAGAAAGGCAAAAAGGACAAGACCAAGTAGAACAATTGGAAGTGCGCGAGAGTTTGAGTGTTTTGAGTGCGTGTGTCTGTAAGTGGTGTTTGCTGCCGTGTTCAGCTTTACACTGCTGTGTGCGTGTGTTGTTGCTGTTGTTTGATATCAATGTGCGCTGTGTGCAGTCAAAGATATTGAATTTTATTTTAGTCCGGCCAAGTGCTGAACCCGCTGCTCACATACATACACAAAGAGGTAGAAATGCTGCTGCCGTGTTACCATGTGTTCAGAACAAGACAAAGTTGTCGGGATTTCGTACAGATCGTCAAAGAGGAAGCAAAAGAAGAAAAAAAAGCTAAGTGTTTGGAGCAGTCCCGCGTCAGTTATCTAGGTTCGTTCATGTATTTGTAGGCTTCCCCGGGCCGGCTTGTGCCAGCAACAAGAGGGCCTTCCACCCGGCTACTATGGTAGGAGAGACGAGTGAAGCGCCACAACATTTGCGCACGAGCCCGGGTACTCTGAGATCTTGCGATCCCGGCACCGCACAGGCAGGTACTCAGACATCAAGTGCCACGACAAGTCCTCCACAACCTTCGCCAAGTGTACGCAGCCTTCAAGTGCCAGCGCGAGCCGACGCACAGAGAAATGCATGCCAACCTTTATCATCCATGCGGAAATATTGTGTATTACAATACTGCAGTTGTAGGTTTGTTCGAAAACATGGCGATGACTCTTTGAATGGCACACGCGGCAGCGCACACTCGAGCGCGGTCCAGGCGCGACAGGGCGATGGTGCGCACACGCACAGTGTAGATGCGATCCGACGCGAGGCAGGACGACGGAAGCGGGGTGAGAAACAGAAGGAGCGAGGGTCACTGCGCAGCGAAGCGAGCCATTCCACGTGGAACCGTTTCACCAAAAAGCAGAACTGCAATTGTGGGAGTCGTAAATCCGCCTGTGAAATGGAAAATAAATGCGCGTGAATACTATTTCAACCATGGGATGATGGCAGGAAAGAGCAGGGGGAAGGAGCAATACAGCGAAATCAAATCCAATGCAGATCCAGCCAAAATCCGATGCTCCCAAAGCAGCAAGCTTAGCTGCTCTTATCTCCTTGTCATAACACTTACCACCACCACCCAGTTCTACCCACTTGCTCCAATCGTGACAAGTAAATTTCTACGTTCATAACGCGGAGGGGAGGGGGAGACTGCTCTCGGTTGCAGTTTGGTCTCGTTCAAGCTGTCGTTTCGAATCATCTCACAAACCACTGCCACCTCTTTGGTATTTCTTCAAATTATCTCTGGTTGGAGAGATGGAGAGATGGAGAGAGGGAGGGCGATTCTGCAACAATCCTCCGCTCGGAGTGCGTGGTTGGACAACCTTTCTCATTGGGGGGGAGAACCGAACGATGAGCCCATACTTTTCCCCTTCCACCACCACCACCCCTGCACCTGAATTCCGTCTACAAACAGTTGCTTTGCACTTGTCAAGCATCGCTTCAGACTGGCTTACGCGCAGATCACCCTTCCTTTTGATTCTATAAAAGCCAGTCGTGAATCCGCAGTTCAGTCATCAAAAATCACCGTTTCGCCGTGTTTTTGACCATCCTTCCTCGTTCCATTCATTCCATCATCAACACTACTACGTACACTACACTACATACACAACAATGATCTACGATTGCGTTATTGTGGGCGGCGGCGCGGGTGGCCTGTCGAGCGCGCTGATGCTTGGCCGTGCGCGCCGGAACGTCCTGCTGCTGACCGCTGGACTGCCGCGCAACGCCCCCGCCGAGCAGGCGCACTCGCTGTTCACACGCGACGGGACGCCGCCGCTCGAGCTCGTGCGCATTGGCATGGAGCAGCTGCAGCCGTACACGACCGTCCACCCGGTCGAGAACGCGCGCGTCGTTTCGCTCGCCCACGACAAGGAGGCCAAGATGTTCTACATTGAGTACCAGAACGAGTCCAACGCGAACGCCGGCGGGTTCTCCATCATGATGACAGCGCAAGTTGAGGAGCCAAAGCCGCTCATCCGCGTGACTGCGCGCGGCGTCATCCTCGCTACGGGCGTCAGGGACGTTCTGCCGCCGATTGCTGGGATTGAGCAATTCTGGGGCAAGTCGGTCATCCACTGCCCGTACTGCCACGGATTTGAGCATGCGGACAAGCGATTCGCGTACATGGGATCCATTGGTCCCATGGCGGTCATGGCGCTCCAGCTGCTGCGCGGCTCGTGGGCGCAGGACGTCGTCTGGCTGCAGAACGGCGGAACTCCGGCGCTGACAGCCGAGCAACTGGCTCGTCTCAAGGAGCTCAACGTGACCATTTACGACAAGAAGGTTGCCGAGTTCCGCGGTGATGATGCTGGCAACGTCCAGACGGTCGTCTTTGAGGACGGCACGACGCTGGATCGCGACTGCATCCTGATCCACCCCGACAACAAGCCCAACACGGACAGCATCGAGCTGAAGGACGGCTTCAGCTACAAGATTATGCACACCGACACGATGGATATCATTCTCAAGGGCCAGACCGACGTGCCCGGCCTGTACCTCGTTGGCGATCTCGCCACTCCGCTCCACCAGCTTTCCACCGCAGCCTATCTCGGTGGCTTCATGGCCGGCAGTCTTAACATGTACCTTTCGACTCTGTAATGGCAGTGCCTGTATGAGTGTGATTTTGGTGTGAAGCCGACGAGACGGCCGGAACGTTGTCTGGTCATTGTTGTTGTTGTTTTGTTGTTGTTGTTTTATTGTTGTTTTATTGTTGTTGTTGTTGTTGTTGCTGTGGTTTATGTTTGTTTCGTTTTGTCTCAATGTGTGTATCCAAATTACAAATCAAGTACAAAAGATGAAAGGGGGCACAACGGGTAGTGCTGAAGACTCTCACAGCGAAAACCTGTGCAGGACCCCATTGTCACAACAAGAATAATGCACAACAAACTACCAACAACAACAAAAAATATCATCAAAACGATACGTCTTGGCATTCGCAAGACAGCAGAAAGCAGTTTACTCGGCCTTCACTTGCTTTGCCTTCTTGGCAGCGACTTCTTTTTGGTACTTGTTGAAGCTCTCGTCAGTGCCGAACAGCTTGTCCCAGAAAGTGAAAGTGGAAGCGTAGTTGCCGGTAAAGTTCATGTGGTGGAAATCGTGGAACTTGGCGCCTATTGCACGCGGAGGTCAGTCAACCGTCAGAGCGTGTACAAGACGCAGCAGACATTACACCAACAAACCAATCGTACCGCCATAGAACGGAAGCAAGTGCAGAGGAGTCCAGATGTCGTAGCCGCTGTGAACCTCAATGGTCTCGATCAGTCGGAGGGTAACCCACGCCCAGTTGAGAATGAGGTGGTTGCAAAAGATGAGAACGCCGAGGAAGAATCCAACGCCAAGAACTGTATCAGTGCCAAATGGAGATACGATCAGTAAAGCAAGAAACGCAATGGAGAGAGTGCAACCATCGACAAAATGCGTACTCAGAGTCTCTGCGGGGTGGGCATACTCGGCAACCATGCCGAACGGAGCGGCAAAGGTGTGGTGAACCTTGTGGATGTACTTGTAGATGGCCTTGTGGTGCAGCAATCGGTGCATAAAGTAGTGCCAGGTGTCTTCAATGACGAGGCAAGCGAAAACCTGAGCGGCAAGAATGTACCTACGCAAAAACCCAAAAGGTCAGTGCGTTTGCAGCCCAAATTCGCAGACGGAACGCAACAACACGGTCTTGTCACGGTCTTGTCGTCAACGTACCAGGCAGGGATGTCCTTGTACAAGTACGGAATGTCAAAGTAGCGCATGAACGAGTGTGTGCCCATGATCAGCGGTGTCTACCCCAACGACAAACAAAAGTTCAATGTCAGTACGTTAACGCTTTTGGTGAGATCGATGTTTTCATTTGCATTGTCGCGTTGACTATGCTGTTACCTGAATGCAAAAGTGGTTGAACATGAGCATTCGGAAGCACTTCCACTGGAGCTCCCAGGTCTCTGGCTTTTCCTATCCAACACAATCCAACACAAGTCAGCGCAATACAATACAATACAACAGAATCACGTACATGTATAATGTGAGTGTGAGGTAGGGTGGTGTGAGGTAGGGTGGTTCAGGTCGGGTCTTTTTTTGAAACGCCGACAGCCGCTCTGTTTCCCGCTCTCGTTGTTGTTTGTCGTGTGATTCCGCCCTTCCATCCAATCCGAACGAGCGCAACAATGTACCATTGCACATCATGACGACCAACACCCAATCAACTCGACAGTCGTCCGTGTTCGTCCTGGCCCAGTGTCGAGTCGGGAGCGAGGATTTGGCGCTTCGAGTGAGGTGACTTTTTTTTTTTTTTTTTTTATGTGAATGTGAATCCGCCCAGCTTCCACACGCTTCACGGCCCCCTCCCCCGCTTCACCCTCCTTCAAATGCTTCAACAAGTACAACACCATCATGACGACAACCAACCGCTGTGATGCTCGATCAGTCATCCACATTCACATCCACCATCGTAATCGTAGTCGTCATAGAAGAGAATCATAAAAAGTCACCCCATTTCAATCCTCACGCCACTCTCCGCGCTACGTTCGATTCCTCACTCTCACGCATCGTCATCATCACCATCACTATCGTCATCATCATCATCACTCTCACTCGGCGTTTTCAGACTGTTTGACTTTTTGTCGCTGTCTGAAAATCGCGTCGCATTTCACCATCTAAAGCAACTGTTGTTGTAAAAACTTGAACGCAAAGTCGCGTGGAAAACGAAACCGCCAATGCAGAGCCCATACAATCCCCAACCCCAACCCAATGTCATAAACGAAAGAAAAAACAAGTGAATGCTTTGGGTTGTTATATTATACCTGCTGCAGCTTGTAGCGGCGCATGAATGGGAGGAACTGGAAGAGAAAGCCGGGGAGGCACAGGCCAAAGTAGATGACTTGGTGCAGAATGAGCGAGCCCCAGGTTGCAATCTGGTACTCTGTAAAGTTGTCCGTCATCCAGGTCCAGCACGCCTCGAACGCGCCCATCTCGGCATAGCGCGCGGACGACAGGTAAGTCCAGTCCTGCGACACGGCCGCTGCATTGAAAACACTCGCGTTCACGCTCATGATTTTCGGTGAAAGTGAAGACTGAGCGGATCGGATTTGGGTTGTTGTAGTTTTTTAGTTTTCGGTTTTTGGTTTTGGGTTTTTGGTTTTTGGTTTCGGATCTCTGACAAGTCTGTCGGGTTTCACTGGATTGGAAAAAAAATTCCTGAAAATACAGCTCAGATAAACACTGGCGCAGCGATTGCCGTCCAGTTTTCGGCCCAACGACCCTCTTCGATGCGCTGCCGTTGCAAGTGCTTGCGCATTTCGCGGAGCTTAAAGTCCTGGCTGGGAAATCCGTACAGGAGGCTCTGTCGCATGCAAACAGATTTGAGTGCACGTGCTTTGGGTTGAACGAATTGTCCACATTCGCGACAAAGCTACAAAACGCACCTGAAGTTGCTCGCATAGCTCTGCGGAAGTCCGGAAAACTAGCCCGTTCTTGCGGTGTTCTACAAGCTCGTGCAAACTGGAACGCAGAACGTTGAGAACACGGATTGTTTGCCGTTTCAACCAGGTCTTCGAAAGCGAGCGTACCACTGAAATCCCACAGCACAGACGGGAAGTCCGCAACCAAACATGTCGACCACCTTCATTGGTAGATCCAGTCCCGACGACGACTTGTGAAGACAGACGCCCAAATTGCAAGCACCTGCGATTCCCAATCAAGTTAGGAACAGTCGCGTCGCTCATTGAGCACCGTCTTCAACCTCATACCAAGCAACCGGGGATAATCAGCAGCCTCGAGCCAGAGAGTTCGGATGCGCACACAGAGCCACTGTTTGGCCGCAATCTGTGCTTCGTAAAATGCCTTCATCGGTCCTTTGCCTGAAACGGTTTGTTCCAAAATTAAAGTCAAGCCAAGAACATCTCAGGCTGAGTGCCCAAGCAAAAACCAGCTGCCAAACCAGCTGCCACATTCACAAGGAATAACAATCCGATCGTACCCGTAATCAAGCAAATGATGTTTGGCAGCGCATTTTCCTCGACTTTTGCCTTCTCCTCGTACGCCTCCAAAGCCTGCAGTATTCCACTGGTGAGACGATAGAAAAAAAGCAACCTACAGTGTCAACCACCACGACTCACCTGGAGCAGCATGGAAAAGTCCTCATCTTCAGTCCAGCTGGTGCTGCTGACGAGCAGTGCAGGGCGCTGGGCAACCAGCTCGATCTGGCCTGAAGGGTTTGCAACAGTCACAAGCGTGCGAGTCGGTGTGTCTGGACTGGCATTCGTGGATTCTGCTGCGGTTTTTGATCGTGTTTGGCGAACGGGTTGTTGATTTGCAAAAGGGAGCGTGAAGAGCCCAGGATTTTCCCGATCCAACTTGCAGAAGAGCTACTCGTGTGACACCACCACCCCTCCTCAGGTCAGCGCAATGAAAGGCACGCGTATCGCATGCAGACGACAAATATGCGACAAGCCCGACAAAAAACTTGCCTGGTGCGAATCCTCCACGGACGTCTCTTGAAACATTGGTGGTGGGCGGTCGTACAGTGTGCGTGCATCAATGCCCCAAAGGCGCAGATCACGGCGCATGGCTTCGGTGACACAAAAATGGGCGTCGCCCCATCGACCAAAAGTAAACTCAAACCTGCATTGCGAGAAGAGTGAGTTTGGCTGATCTGTGGCGCGGGACTCATTTCACAAGCACGCGTACCACTTTGCCAGCCGCACGACGCGGCTTTCAGCTCCATGAGCAAGTCCAAGGATTGTGTAGCCGTAGTTGTGCCAATCAATCACAAGCTTGGCATTCCTGAGTCGACAGATTGCCCAGGCAAGTGCAAACGTCGGAATCGTTGGAGGGTTCTGTATCGGCATCAAAGACAGCCGTTTGAGCGTGCAAAACCAATGCTTGTGCGCCTACAAGCAAACGTTACCTGAATCAAGCACCATCGATACGGCCGCATCGCCATCAATCTCAAGACGAGTTGCGCTGCAAGGAATGCAGCTTTCGCAACACCATAAACAAGGTAGAATGGTTTTGGCAATCCTGTTCGTGTTTGGCACGGTGTGGTACGTTTGGTAAGATTGGCATGAGTGGCAGGATTGGGTGAGATTGGCACGACTTGTGGCCCTCCAACACCTCAAACTCAAAATCCAGCCACAAGTACAACTCCATCAGACTTGAAGTGACACGTTAACGCACCTGGAGCGATGCGCGGCGCTTCACGCAATGCGACCAGGTGGATGCGCGGATTGCTGCGAATCTCGTCGTGTGGCCGGCTGCCCGAGTACGCCAGGACGTCCACCTCGAGTCCCAACGCTGCCAGCGACATTGCGTGATACTGACACCATCCCAAACAATCGAGAACGCACAGGCGCCGACGTCGCAGATGCGAACGCAGAGAAAATCAGCCAACGATCAACTCGCATACGTCCCCATCGCCTGTTGCCCCCTCCCCCCGCCACTCAACGATCGACCACTCACCTGCATGCGTGGACTGCGGCCAAAGTCGCCGAGAACGACAATGCAGACGCGCTTGGCCGTGCGGGATTGGAGGCGCTGCACCACGACGACCACGCCGAGCAATGCAAGCAGCAGCACAGCGACCTGCAGGAGGAGTACTGGGACGGACATTCCCCCTTTGAGTGAAGAGAAAGTGACTGCAGGTGGAGGGGGCTACTAAGATGGGTGAGAGACGGAGACAATCACTGGAATACACTATTTTGACAGGTCGGTTTCAATTTGGTTTCGATTTGTAATGTTGCATGTATGTGTGTACAAGAGTTGATTCCAATGCCCCGGAGAGGAACCCGAGACTAGCGCAAACCAAGCATGGCGGCAATGGCTTCCTCATAGATCGTCCAGGTCACGGCAGTGGTGATGGATTTGCGTAAAACACGAGGCACAATCCCACGAGCCAAGCCTGCCACTCCTTCGTCCTGCACCCGCGAGAGACTGATAATGTGAGTTGGACCGTACCTGCAGCAAGCAAAAGGCAATAGTGCACTCTCTTTCCATCTCGCGCCGACCAGAAAAATAAAACGCAATACGTGCCTGCACAATCTTGGAGAGCGAGGAAAAGAAGGTTGGATATTGCTCTGGGTAGAGCTGCATGCGAGCGCGTATTACATCGGGTGGGTGTGTAGCAGTTGTAGCAAGAAATCCAGCCCAGAGACCTGGTGAAAGCGTGAAAGAGCAAAAGAGAAGTCGTCAGCAACGCTGCGCTTTGACGAAGGGGGCAGAACGCAGGCTTGCATACCGGAAGCGAGATTGGTCAAAGGCATCACGAACGGTCCTTTGGATGTGTCATTTGTTGATTGATGTGCTACAACATGCCATTCCTGTCAGTACAATGCGGGCATGGGGATGGCTACATAAACGCGAAACGCAAGTACCGAGCAAAAACCGGCGAGTTTCTTCCCAGCAGGCGTAGTAGATGCCTGAAAATGGTGCATCGCGCATCACAGTGGCGGTGAGCCCTTTAAACAGGCCTATAAACGAGGACGGATTAGCAATGTTTTGCTTTAAAAAAATCGACAAAAAACCAAACAACAGAAAGACTTGCCTCGGAATCGCTCCGTTTCTGCAATCGTCCTGAACGCATTCCACATGCTGGAATAAGAGTACAATCCGCTCTGTGTGTGTGTCATCCAATAGATGTTGGCTCGCAACTGAAACGCTGTTCCCCCTTCAGCAAAAATCACTCAAAATCACTCAACGTACCTCAAAACGCGTTTTGATCAGCGTGAGTGGAAGTGTGATAATAACGACGTTTGCTCGAGCGGAAAACCCCGCAATGAATGCCCGCTCGGGTGACAACACTGGGCGCTGTTCCACAAGCGAAATCATTGCATGTGTTCAGAATGAAAAAAGGACAAAAGTTCAGTTGAGTACAGTATTATGCAGTCGAGGTCGAAATCACAGCAGGCGAGGTTGGAAATTAGAGCGGACGAAGTGAGGAAAATCGGACTGGAAACAAGTAGCTTGGTTGAAAGTGCGAGAAAAATGGTTTTTTCCGTAATTGGTTTTTGTGCGTTCGATTTGGTTTTCAACGAGTTGGTTTTTGCAAGCTTGTATTTCGAATTAACCCACTTGAGATGTTAGAATTACCAACAACTTCAGGAAGTATTTGAATTGAATCATGTATCTTGGAAGGTCATTAGATGCTGGGGTGAGTAGCGGGAAAGCTAGGGCTCGGGAAGAACTCGAACTAGAGTTTTTATGAATTACTTCCACAGCGACGTCTTTACCACCCAGGGCTCGTACTCACGAGCCATTTCGGTGTAAGCATTAGCATTCGCATAGTTTATCATAGTGTCATTAAATTGGTGGCAATCGTATGCCGAGTGGATTGTTCCGATCATTCCTAACGACCAGCCAGTTGCAGCACCAATGACAACGCAATGTGCACTCCACAGTGGAGCGCTCCAGCTTGCATACGCTCAATACATGTACATGCATGTATAAATAGGCTTAACTATGTTTGTTTTATGAAGGTTTACGGGTAGAGTGAAGAAAGGACGCAAGGCCGACCGGACTGTGGTGTTTTTTTTTTTTATGAAAGCCATCGACTTGTCTTTGGCAGATGCTTGTTGCAGAATAAACATGATTTGAAATGGATGTACAATAATGCAGTATTTATACATGTAACATGACACGGACGATCACATCAAACGACCACCCAAAACAGGCGAGCGGGTGCCATTGAGGGAGCTTTCGAAGGAGAGCACGCCAACTAATCTAGCACATCGTGCATCTCGTGACAAGCATTAAAGTACTTGAGCTGAACATGTGTGATAGTGTTTTGGCAATGCGTTGCCGTCACGGTACCAACAGCAGCGGTAATGCGACTTGAGATTGTTTCGTTCGGTTCCAGCCGGGAGCGCTTGAACGCAGCCTTCACTTGGTGAAGACATACTCGAT